TTCACCCCAAGTGACCGAAGTGGCCAGTGCTGTGCCAGTCCAAAGCCAGGAGTCAGGAACTTCCTCCAGGTCTCCCACGCACTTGCAGGATTCCAAGACTTTGGAATCAACCGCTTTCCCAGGCCACAAACAGGGAGCTGGATGGGAAGTGGAGCTGCAGGGATTAGAACCAGCGCCCATATGGGTGGGATCCCAGCACGTTTAAGGCAGGACTTTTGCTGCTAGGCCTCCCCGCTGGGCCCGTAAGTGAAGTATTTTTAAGCTTGTAATTTTTTTTCTCAGCCTCCACAGTTAGCATGGTTGAAGAAGATAAAGAAGCACAATTTTGGAATTCACTTTTGTGTTTCCCACATAACCCTTAGCTGTCTTCTGCCTCCCCATTTTTTTTAAGGTTTTATTTACTTGAAAGTCAGTTACAAAAACAGGGGGAGATGCAGAGAGAGCTTCCATGTGCTGATCCCGTTCCCTAACCCCCAGGTGGCTACAGTAGCTGGAGTTAGGCCAAGCCAAAGCCAGGGACCAAGAGCTTCTTCCAGGGTTTCCAAGTGGATGGGGCCCAAGTACTTACTCTTTTTTTTTTTTTAAGATTTATTTATTTTTATTGAAAAGTCACATTATACAAAGAGGAGGAGAGGCAGAGAGGAAGATCTTCCATCCGATGGTTCACTCCCCAAGCAGCCACGGTGGCCGGAGCTAAGTCAATACAAAGCCAGGAGCCAGGAGCTCTTCCAGGTCTCCCACTTGGGTGCAGGGTCCCAAGGCTTTGGGCCGTCCTCGACTGCTTTCCCAGGCCACAGGCAGGGAGCCAGATGGGAAGCAGGGCTGCCGGGGTTACAACTGGCACCCATGTGGGATCCCGGTACATGCAAGGCCAGGACTTTAGCCACTAGGCTACCATACTGGGCCCAGGATAGATTTTTTTTTTTAAGAATTATTTATTTGAAAAGAGTTACAGAGAGTTATCTGCACCCACATGGGAGCTCTAGAAGAGGCTCCTGGCTTTGGATTGGCTCAGCTCCAGCTGTGGCAGTGACTTGGGAAGTGAACCAGAGGACAGAAGATCTTTCTCTCTCTTTCCTGCTAACTGTATTTCTGACTTTCCAATAAAAATAAATAAATCTCTAAAAACAAATCTATCCTACCTTTTCCTAAAACAAAGAAGCAAATCTTTGTCAACCAGCAGCATTTCTAGCAAACCCCCAACAATTTAGGCATAAAAATTCTTTGTTTTATTATCTTATTCTGGGGCATTACATATGAAAGACAAAGAACTATCAGAGTTTTCGGACCAACAGTATTTTGATACTAAAAAGAAAACTGTTATCTGAGCATAGGACAGATTGATTAATTTGTAGAAGACAAGTGCTTCTTGTTATTTATTTCATCCATGTAGTTATAGAAATTGTTTTAAAATATTTATTATTTGAAAGGCAGAGTTACAGAGAGAGAGGTTATTTCTGCTGACTCATTCCCCAGATGGCTGTAGGGGTAAGGGCTGAGTCAGTTTGAAGCCGGGTTGTCATGAAGATTACATCAGTTGCTTCTCTCAGTTAATTAGAACAGTATCTGGCACATACTTTCTTTGTCTGCGTCTATTACTTTATATATTATAAAGGGAAGAACATCTTGAAGATTCTTGGCATCCAAGTTCCTTTCCAGAAAAGGCTGCAGGAAAGGAATGGTTAGGAGAGCTATAGGAATACATAGGGTTGTCCAAATTCTTTGGTAAGTACTGGCACCGCACCTAGAGAAAAAAAGAAGTTATAAAGTTATGTGGTCCACCAGTACTGTACTAACACTGATACCAGAAAGATAGGAAAGATATGAAATATGAATGTGACCAATGTGTTACTGGAATAATACAGTACAATTTCTATACTGGATCATTACGGGAATTATGTTAAGGGCAGTTTTGGGATCTTATACTTTTGTTTTTACAGAAGATAAGATCAGTAATGTTGGTTGCAGCCGTCTAGGTTAGGAATTCCCCATAGGTCCTGCTGGTTTAAAACTAATATATTGATAGGCCTTTGTTCCTATTGGAGAACCTGGAGAAGAATCTGCTTTTAGATTCTTAGTGCTGTCTAAATTCAAGTCCTTTCCATTTGAGAACAGAGTTCCAAGGTGTCGGGGACCAAGTTAACTCCTTGGACCTGAACCCCTGGAACTTCGTGCCAACAGCCTTAGATTGACCCCTCCACCCTTGGAGTCTCTGACTCTCCTGCCACACTGCTCTTCTGCCTGCTTTGCTACATCTCCAGCCATTCTCATTTCCTCTTCTTTTTAAAAATAGGTTTTATTTTTTTTTTTATAATGATTACATGATGGATCAAGATGGGAAGGATCAAGGTTTAGAGCAAATTAGGTGTGCTTCCAAATTTGCTATTTCTCTTTTCTGGGGAAAGGAGAGGGAAAACGAGGGGAACCACTAATGACTTTGTACACGTCTGCTTCTCAGGTCTTCCATTACATTAAACTCACCTAACTAATCCAGGCTGATTTCCCTATTTTAAAGTCATCTGATGAATAGCTGCACCTAACGTTAGCATTTGATAGAATAATCAAGAACATCTTGACAGTTTAGTGTTTACCTGCAGCTCCCTCCAGACACTGCAGAGCTGGCTGAGCCCCGCGTGCAGTGGGGAGGACACGCTTGCTGAGGACTGCCTGAGAGCCCGTGTTATTGCTGTGATCTGGCCTGAGAGACGGCATTGGGATTTTGTCCTGGAGTTGGACTCTGAGCAAACACCGCATGAACAGAGAAGCAGCAGTCACTGATTGTCGCTGGCAGGGGAGACGGTCCCTGTTCCTAGTGTGCATGGTGCTTGTTTTAAACTGTGTTTCAACAGGCATGTAAAGTGAACGTGGCTTGTTGGTTTTAAAAATACGGTTTTTGTGTTTAGCCTCGCTTCGTTGCACATGGTGTGAGTTTTCTGCAGATAGGTTCAACAGGAGAAAAACCAAGACCTGCTTCTGAGTGGCAGGCTGTCCAGAGCTGCTTTCTCTTGCTCACCTGCCTGCTGAGCTGGGGCCCTTAGGAGGGCAGCACCTGACTGAGAAAAGCAACCCAAAGACTCCAGAAACATAACCTGAGGCAACTACCGTAGGTAGGATTATAAACTGAATTTTAAAAAAACTAGTCATGGAGACCAGTTTTAATAAAATGTCTAAGCTAGTTTTATTTTAAATGAGAATTTTAACACTTTGGGGGCCAGTACCATGGCTCAAAAGACTAATCTTACTCCTACAAGTCTCAGCATCCCATATATGTGCAAGTTCATCTCCTGGCTGCTCCACTTCCCAGTCAGCTCGCTGCGTATGGCCAAGATGACCCAAGGCCTTGGACCCCTGCACCCATGTCAGAGACCAAGTATCTCTTGGCTTCAGTTCAGCTCAGCAGCAGCCGTTACAGCCATCTGGGGAGTGAACCAGTGGATGGAAGGTCTTTCTATCTTTGCTCTCTGCACATCTGCCTTTTTAATTAAAAATAAGTAAATCTTTTTAAAAAGTGCACTTTGGTTACTTAAAATTTAGCAAGACAGAAAAATGTCCTTTCCTAATGATGCTGAATGAATCAAGTGTATTGTATTTTTTATGTGCTGGGAGTTTCAGGAGGGAAGTGACGATGGGACCAAAAAGTTGGTGGTCAGAATTTTTAGGCCTGTTTTGTCGCCCATGGAGGTCACAGGATAAATATCTGTTGGGAAGCTACTGAGAAGGTTAACAGACTCATGATCTGGAAGGTCCCTGTGGGAAAAGGAAGCCTCAAGTTGGAATCCTCCAGCTCTAACAGTTAAGCTGATCATCTAACGTGATTTTCCTATCTGTGAAATAGGGCTGTTTGTTTGTGGGCAGGAAAACCTCACAGGATTCTAATGAAGTCAAACCCCTATGCAGTGTATTTTGTTGTTCTTGTCAAAGCTTTGTTTGTGTGTTTGAAAGGTAGGATGACAAATTTTTCATCCATTGGTTCAATCCCAAATGTCCACAGCAGTCAGGGCCAGACCAGGCTGAAGCCAGGAGCCAGGAACTCCATCCAGGCCTCCTCCGTGGGTGGCAAGGGCCCAGGTATATTTGGCACATCTTCCACTGCCCTCCCAGGTGCAGTAACAGGGAACTGGGTCAAAGGCAGATCAGCCAGGACTCAGACAAGCACTCTGAGGTGGATGCTAAGTGTCTCAAGCAGCGACTTAACCCACTGGCCTCATGCCTTGTGTGATTGTTACTCCTAATAATCTCAACTCCAGAAATGTATAGATGCTGTTACTGTTTTATCAGTCAAGACTTATGTTTTCTGATGTAGAAACTGGACCATTTCACGAAGTAATTAGAGATAGTATTATCTTTTTAGTTATTTAGGAGTCTAGGACCTTGCTTATCTACATAGCTGCCAACAGATGGCTCTGGAAGGGCATGCATGCACTCATTCGATAAAGATTTATTAATTAATTATTGCTTCTATAATGAAATGAATTCTTTTTTGTAAGATCAGTGTCTTGGTTTGGGTTACCCTCAAAGCAGCGTACATACTGGAGACAAGGAGGAGTGTGATTGCACATATTTTGGGAGAAGTCATAGAGAACTGGTGGAGGAAGCCAAAATAGGTATATATGAGTGAATTACTACTGTGGAGTACTGGGGTTCACCCAGCCTCTGAGGGAAATGTGTGGAACATGGCTCAGAACTGTTCCAGGAAGGGGCAAGGAAGCCAGGGTTCCCTTACCTACCTTTGATGTAGGGTGGGTTGTGCGCTTCCTGGTACTTGGGACCTGCCCCAACAGGGGCCTGTGATGAGAAGACATCACTAAGAGAAGCAGAGGAAACTGGGAGATACGTAACTAATAGTTTCCTGGTGATTTCCATGATAGGCTAACAGAATCCTTGAAAAATAAATAAATAACATGCAATGATAGGAGGCTATATCCTATTACAGAAAGCATGAATGTTGGCAATAAATAGTACAGGTTAAAAAGTATTTAATACCTACTGTTTTTCTTTAGGATTTCCTGTTGCAACAGACCATGCTAAGAATTAAGGATCCTAAGAAGTCATTGGAATTCTATACCAAAGTCCTTGGAATGACGTAAGTAAAATATGTGTTGGCATATTAATGCTTAATTATGAAATATTTATTTATATCTTAGTGTTATAATACTTAAATGTTCATGGAGGAGCCAGTGCTGTGGCATAGCATATAGAGCTGCCAATGACTCCAGCATCCCACATGGGTACCAGTTCTTGTTCTAGCTGCTCTGCTTCCAATCCAGCTCCTTGCTAATAGCCCAGGAAAGCAGCGGAGGATGGCCCAAGGCCTTGGGCCCTTGTGTCCACATGGAAGATCCAGAAGAAGCTCCTTGCTCATGGTCTCAGCCTGTCCAATCCCAGTCATTGCGACCATTTAGGGAGTGAACCAGTGTGTGGAAGATCTCTCTTTCTGTCCCTGTCTGTGTAACTCTGACTTTCAAATGGATAAATAAATCTTTTATTTTAAAATGTTCATAAAATATTGGATTAGGAGATAATTATTTGATGTAGGAAAAATTCATGCATACCAGGAGCCTAGCCATTGAATCCCTGGCCAAGACACCTACATCAGTACGCCTGGCTTCCATCCTGGGCTCCAGCTCTTCATCCTAGTTTCCCGCTACTCTGGATCCCAGGAGGAGTGGTGATGTTTCAAGTAGTTGGGCTCCTGCCACCCACGTTTGAGACTTGAATTGAATTTCCAGCACAGCCCAGCACAGCCCTGGCCACTGTGAGCCTTTGGAAAGTGATCCAAGATGTTCAATCCTCTTCTCTCTCTGCCTCCTACCTTTTGAATAAGTAAAAATAACATTTTAAAAATTCGTGCATAGATTTTTTTTCATAATCTTTTCATAATAGACATTTTCCATGAATTTTTCAAAGATCCCTTGTGTGTGTATGAATTGTTTTCATTTATTTATTTTTTGCGTTCAAATAGATTTCATTCCATTTCTCTGTGAACTTGTTGAAGTCCCCTCAGACTTAGCTTTGCAAACAGCAGGGAGTTTTCAGGCCAATTTAAGACTTAAAGGATCTTTTGTGACAAGGCCTAATTGGTGAGGGCTTCTGCCAAGTTCCTTCTCTTCCAACAAAAGGCCCGGATACCTTGTTTCCTCCATGTTCCCTTCTCTGAGAGCTGCCAGCTAACTCCTGGATGTGTTCAGAGTCCTTTTGAGGTTCTAGCCACTTTCAGTTTGTTCAGGAAAGTTATAGATAGAGGGGCATGTAACTCAGAAATAAATGGCCTGCCTATAAAATGTGTTTTTATTGATCAGGTAATATGCACTGATCTTATAATCATTAAAACATATTTATTTGCCCATTCTTCTCCCCCCTTCCCTTTTTATTTCCACGAATTACATTTAGGACCTGATGGTTTTTTAAATTAATTTATTTTTATTTGAAAAGTAGAGTTAGAGAGGAAGAGGCAGAAAGAAAGATATTCCATTCCCTGGTCCACGCCCCATATGGCCACAATGACCAGAGCCAAGCCGGTTTGAAGCCAGGAGCCAGGAGCTTCTTCCGAATCTCCCATGTAGATGGCAGGGGACCAAGACCTTGAGCCATCCTCTGCTTTTCCAGGCAATTCACAGGGATGTGGATGGGAGATGAAGCAGCTGGGATTCAAACCTGCAATCATATGGGATGTTAGCTACATAGCTGGAAAGTTAGCCCACAGCACCACCTTGTCAGCCCCAGCTCAGGGATCTTTTATGACAATACAGATATACTACACAGAGAGTAAAATGGTGTTTAACATATTAGCTAGGATAATATCCATTGATAATGAGGGAAAAATTCAAGTAACATATAGAGATCTGAGTTTAGATGATGTGACCAGGTCGAAAAAGTACAAAATGGGCCTGGCAGCGGTGTGGCCTAGCGGCTAAAATCCTCACCTTGAAAGCCCCGAGATTCCATATGGGCGCTGGTCTAATCCCAGCAGCTCCACTTCCCATCCAGCTCCCTGCTTGTGGCCTGGGAAAGCAGTGGAGGATGGCTCAAAGCCTTGGGACCCTGCACTCGTGTGGGATACCTGGAAGAAGTTCCTGGCTCTTGGCTTCGGATCGGCATAGCATTGGCCGTTGCGCTCACTTGGGGAATGAACCATCAGACAGAAGATCTTCCTCTCTGTCTCTCCTCCTCTCTGTATATCTGGCTTTGTAATAAAAATAAATAAATCTTTAAAAAAGAAAAGTACAAAATGAGAAGTGATCACCTTCCTGCTTTAGGTCTCCTCCTAGAGATAGCTGCTGTTAATCAGTCCTTGTGATTCTTCCTGGAAAAAGTTGGTCTGTGTGCATCTGCGGTGGATTTGAAGTGCAGAATGCTAGCAGTGAATTGGGCACTCACTGTGCCTCAGGCCCTTCCTGGGTTAGTCCGCTCAGTCTTCACAGTAGACTCCCAGGGTAGCTTCAGTCCCCAAGTTACAGATGAAGAAATCCCATCAAATAGCAGATGAACTCGCAGTCCCCACTACCCTTCAGAACTGAGATTAGAACCTGCCCCTGGCTGACTGCATTGCTGATCTTCCCTGACAGTAAAGCAAAGGGTGAACTCACCTGAAAAAAGCGAGTTGTAGTGGGCGCCTTCACATCACTGCCTGCCTGATGGATCTGGAATGCTTGGGGAGTTTGCTTTCCCAGGGGCACCAATAATGTCTCCTGATGGAAATATTGGAGGTGTTTGATTCTTTACCACAACATATCCGATTATATCTTATTTGTGAGAAAATCAGCATATTGATCTGGTGGCCCCAGAGCTGTGATCACTGGTTAAGTAGAGTCCTCGGAGCTTTTCCACCTGCTGCGCTGCAGGCATCTGCTCTTGTGCATCACTCAGGGTCATCTCTGAGCATTTCATGTCCATTTAGCTGAAGAAAATTATGTGAGTATGCATCCTCAGTTTTCTGACTCCATGCAAAATAATCCTGTGCTGTTTAGACTAGTTTATAAGCTGTTGCTTTGTCTTTTTAATTTATCTAAAAACTGCATTTTGGCAGATAGTCAAGCCTCCGTTTACAACCATAACATTCCTTATTTGGAATGCTAGTGCAGGCCTCAACTACTCTGCTTTTGATCCAACTTCCTGCTAACATGCCTGGGAAGGCAGCACAAGACAGCCCAAGCACTTGGGTCTCTTCACCTGAGGGAGCAAGCGGAGTGGAGTTCCTGGCTCCTGACTTTGGCCTGGCCCAGACCTAACTGTTGTGACCAGGTAGGGACTAAACCATAGGTAGAACAGCAATCTCTATCGCTCTCTCTTTTTAAGATTTATTTATTTATTTATTTTTATTGGAAAGGCAGATTAGATTTATGGAGAGAGGGGCAAACAGGGAGATTTTCCTTCTGCTGGCTCACTCCCCAAGTGGCCACAATAGCCGGAGCTGAGTTGATCCAAAGCCAGGAACCAGGAGCTTCTTCCAGGTCTCCCATGTGGGTACAGGGTCCCAGGGCTTTGAGCCATCCTTAACTGCTTTCCCAGGCCACAGGCAGGAAACTGGAAGGGAAGTGGAGCAGCTGGGATGCGATCCAGTGCCTGTGTGGGATCCCAGCGCTTGCAAGGTGAAGAATTAGTCATTGAGCCATCTCAGTGGGCCCAGCAGTCTGTCTCTGTAGCTCTGCCTTTCAAGTAGATTTTTGCTTTTAAAAACATATTTATTTAACTAAAATGCATTTATCTGAAAGAATAATAAAGTAACACATTATATTTTTCACTAAATGAACAAAATTGTCATTTAAAGAAAACATTTTTATTTTGAAACAAGTTGCATAATTCTGGCTATATTCATTATATTTGAAGGATTGGTGAATTACAAAAGCTTGCTTTTTTAAAGATTTATTTATATAGAGAGAGAGGAAGGAGAGGAAGGAGAGACAGAGAGGAAGATCTTCCATCCAATGATTCACTCCCCAAGTGACCACAATGACTGGAACTTCGGTGATCCAAGCCAGAAGCCAGGAGCTCTTTTAGGTCTCCCACGTGAGTGCGGGGTCCCTAGGCTTGGGCCGTCCTCGACTGCTTTCCCAGGCCACAAGCAGGGAGCTGGAAGGGAAACGGGGCTTCTGGGATTAGAACTGGTGCGTTCAAGGTGAGGACTTTAGCCACGAGGCCTCCACGCTGGGCCCCAAAAGATTGCTTTTTTATTTTTGTGTTTCATTAATATTTACAAATTAGCAGATTTAAGAAAAATACTTTATTTATTTGAGGAGCAGAGCTATAGAGACAGAGAGGTCTTCCATCCACTGGCTCACTCTGCAAATGGCCACAATGATTGGGGCCAGGCCAGGCCAAAGCCAGGAGCTTTATCTGGGTCTCCCTAGTGGTAGCAGGGGCCCAAGCACTTGAGCCAACTTCTGCTGCTTTTCCAAGTGCAGTAGAAAGGAAGTGAATTGAAGAAGGAGCAACCAAGACTGGCTTGAACCCGTGTCCATATGGGATCCTGGCACTACAGGTGGTGGGTCTATTTGGTATACCACAACTCTGATCCCAAGAGATTTTGTTTCACTAATTAAGTCATGTTGATTTTAGTATGACTCAGTCTTTACTATTATTAAAGATTCATGCTTGTTGATTTTTAATTTCAGGCTAATTCAAAAATTGGATTTTCCTTCTATGAAATTTTCACTCTATTTTATGGCATATGAGGATAAAAATGACATCCCCAAAGATAGAAATGAACGATTAGCATGGGTGTTTTCCAGAAAAGCTACCCTTGAGCTGACACAGTGAGTATGAATTTTTTCATCTTTTCTTTTCTCTACAATGATATTTGACAAACTGTAGCTAACTAATGTTTAGGTACTTGAACTAAAGTCTTTTTTTCTTTTAATTTTTTATTTTTGATATTGTTTACATAGTTGACAACGATCATAGCCGTGAGGACCACCCATTAGGTGGGGAGGGTCGAGGCATGGGGAGAAGATGGGTGGGACAAAGGCTTCCAATTTTCTTTTTCTTTCCTTTTCTCCCATATCTGGGATACGGAGGGAGTTGCTGCTCCCACCTGCCAGACCGCATCAGGGTACCTGAACCAAAGTCTGAGAATATCTAAAATTATATTTTTTATTGTTTTTGCTATATTTTTGTTCCAGAAATGTTATATCTCACTTTATAAATTTAACAAAGCATTTATATTTCAGGTGTTTATGATTTTAACACATGAAAGTACAAAACTAAATATTTCTGTCTTTGCCTTTTCATTTCTTTGCTTTATTTCTCTACACTAACAACTAACAACCACCAAAACACCGTTCATTTCAGGTTATGTGATTTGCTAGTGTGTCCCTTGATTCAGAACAAAGTCAGCCACTAGTTGTGTGACCTTCAACAAATTATGTCACCTCCTGAAGGGGCTGTCTCTTTATCTAGAAAATGAAGGGTAGGGATCTGGCGCCCGGAGCTGTTTGGAGAGTGTAATAGAAGCGGGAGGGCTTGGCACCACCAGCATGCTGCAGTGGTTCTCTTTATTGCTCTGGCCCAGATGTCTGATTTGCTTCTCCTCTCCTTAGTCTGATAGAAGGCGTGCTTTGCCCCTTTGCCCTTTCTGCATTGAAAAACGCCTCTTGTGGCAGGAATTCAGCCTAATGTGTAAAGTAGCCTATACACACTGTGGTTTTCCAGGGAGAGAGTTCTTGGGCTGTGGGACGCTGGTAGTGATATGTTTCCTCTCCTTGTAGCAACTGGGGCACTGAGGACGACGAGACCCAGAGCTACCACAGTGGCAATTCAGACCCTCGAGGATTTGGTACGTTTCTATGGAATGGATATGGATTTATGGGAGTCTTATTGTGTGTGGCCATATGGTTATAGTAAACTTGAAAAGGTCATGATCTAATTATTCTGTATAATCAGTTCATTAGAAGTATGATCGTTTTTATTTTCCACAATCTCATTTAGGAATTATTTTCAGAGTTTCAGTATAAACCTTCTACTTACTCCGTAATTTTAGTATTATAATTTTAGTATTATAATTTTTAGTATTATATTTTCACTGGTTTTTCCAGTTGAAAAAGAAAACTGTAGTTGAAATAATCCTAGTTTCTGCTGGCATATACTTCTACTTGGATCTAAAAAACTTGTAGTTGGGAAACCATGGATTAAGCTACTTGCAATGCTGGCATCCCTTTTAGAAGTGTTGATTCAAATCCCAGCTGCTCTGGCTTCCCAGCTCACACCTCTGGGAAGGCACGAGAAGATGGCCCTAGTGCTTGATCCCCTGCTACCCAGGCAGGAGACTACGGTGGGGTTCCAGAGTTCTGGCTTTAGCCTGGTCCAGCCCTGGCTGTTACGGCCACTTGAGAATAAACCAGAGGATCAAAGGTCTCTGCTTACCTCTCTTTCTCACTGTGCCTCTCAAATAAAGCTTTTAAAAATAAATAATAATAGAAAATTAGGATGGCAGGCTTAATCCTACTGCCCTGTCGTCGTCGGTGCTAGCAGCAGACATACTAAATATGAGTAAGTGATTACTCCTTTTGCTAGATTATTCTTAGAAAATTGAGCTATGCATCAACAAATAGTGGTTTATCTTAAGCAATTTATATATAATTCATATCAACTGATTTGTTTCATTATATTCATCTAGTAAGACTATATTCTTTAATGTATTATAGGTTTTGTTCCTGTTTAGCTAAGTCTGTTCTCAAGTACCTGCATCCTCAAATAAGCAAGGTTTGAAAGCCACTTGTGGTGTTTGAATCAACCAGTGTCATTGTTTATTCCCTCTCTCTGCTTTTTTTTGGGCGGTGTCACCTAAGGTCACATTGGAATCGCCGTTCCTGATGTACACGGCGCCTGCAAAAGATTTGAAGAACTGGGAGTCAAATTTGTGAAGAAACCCGACGATGGTAAGTCTACCACTTCCCATGTGGAGGCCTCTTCACTAAATGCTGTTAATCAGGACCCACGGAGTCACTGTGGGGCAAAACCCGTGTGGTTGCAAGTAAGAGAAGTCAGCTTCAGCCAGCTTGAGGAAAGAAGGGAAATGATGGGAAGAATGCTTAGGCATCTTAGAGAGTGAAAGACAGTAGGCAGCTAGCATGGCTCCCCAAAGGGCCACACAGGATCCCCCACACCTGAGCTCCCACGCCCACTCCGTCCCAGCACGCTCTGTCATCGGCTGCCAGCTCTCACTCTTTCAGGCCATATCCACCTAAAATGGATTTCCTTAAAGTACGTTTTATCTGGATAGTAAAATAACCATACCAGATTTCTTTGGTTAATGGTTGTCTGATATTTCTGGCATTTCTTGTTTATTCTAAGTTTTTATGTCTACTTATGCTTTAGGCATAGCTCCTAAGGTAGGATGTGGGTAGATTTTGTTGTATTTACATGTTGTAAATATTTACATGTAAAAAACAAACATGCTGTTTTTGCCTAGATGTCTCTGCCATCATAATTTACTTTTTAGTTTAAATTGGAAACATTTACTATCTCCTTTTTTTGTTTGTTCTCTTTTCAATGTTCTAATTTTTATTTGAAAGGCAGAGTTACAGAGACAAGGAGGAAGAGAGATTATCCATCTGCTGTTTCACTCCCCATATAGCCCCAATGACTGCAACTGGGCAGGTCCAAACACCAAGAGCTTCTTGGTCTCTTGCATAGGTCCATGAGTCTAAATGCCCGGACCACTCTCTACTGGACTCCCAGGCCAGCAGCAGGGAGGTGGGTCAGAAGTGGAGCTGCTAGGTCTAGTGTTCACATTGGATGCCAGCAGCACAGGCAGAGGCCCAACATGCTGCACCATAGCACCAGACACTCACTGTTTCATTTTAATTATTTTTTAAATTCAAATAAATACTCCCCCCCAAATGAGAACTTAGTTCTCCTCCCTCTATCATATTATTATTAATCATACTGGGATATTATTGATTAAATTTTCTCTTTTTTGATAATAAATAGATTCAGGCATTTTGTTCATCTTGTCTTCATATATCTCTTTCATATAAAGCTTTCAAATTTCCTTTTCCTTACATCTAAGTACCTTAATCACAACTGTTTTTCAAGGGTTTGTAAAACCTCGGGGGATTATATATGCCTGAGAACCATGCCCTTATATATGAATGGCAATTTAATGGAATATTCTTAGTTTATTTTACCGCACTCTTCAAAATTCCTCATCACTGCTTTCACATACAATATCATCATTGAAAAATTTGCTATCAGCCTGATTTGTATCCTTTCTTAAAAATTTATTTATGTGAAAGGCAGAGTGACCAGAGATGGAGAGAGAGAAACAGAGAGAATGATCTTCCCCTCACCGGTTCATTTCCCAGATGGCAGCCAAGAGCTGCATCCAGGTCTCCCATGTGTGTGGCTGGGGCCCAAGCCCTTGAACCATCATCTGCTGCTTCCCCGGGCACCTTAACAGGGACAGAGCAGCTGGGGCTCAGAGTGGCACTCATAGCAGACACTGGTGTGGCAGTTGGTGGCTTAGGCCAGTGTGTCACAACACCAGCTCCTGTGTCCCTTCTTGTATTATCTTCTACTTTGTCCTTGCTTTCTTACTGAAAGATTCTGTCAGTTAAGCAAAGAGCTGATTTTTCCCCAAATATGTTTTTCTGATAATTAAGTCATCATTTGTGTTCTCAGCCCATTCTAATTCTCCTCTAATTTCTTTAATTCTCATCTGGATTCCTTTAATATTTCCATACTCTTCTTCCATATGGGTAGCATTTCATACTGTTTCTCAATTTTACATGTGTTAATAGTTCTTGGGCCATTGTAGTATTTCTTCTATCTTCTATTTGAATCTATAATCCCTTGGGGTTTTTTAAAATCTATTTATTTTTCTTGAAAAATCTTACAGAGAAAAGGAGAGGCAGAGAGAAAGGTCTTCTGTCTTTCCCAAGTGGCTACAACAGCCAGAGCTGAGCTGATGTGAAGCGAGGAGCCAGGAGCCTCTTCTGAGTCTCCATGCAGGTGCAGGGTCCCAAGGCTTTGGGCCATTCTGTGCTGTTTTCCCGAGCCACAAACAGGGAGCTGGATGGGAAGTGGAGCAGCTGGGACACAAACCAGTGTCTGTATGAGATCCCAGCATAAGTAAGGCTAGGATTTAGCCACGAGGCTATTGCACTTGGCCCAGGTTTTTTTGTTTTGTTTTGTTTTGTTTTGTTTGTTAAAGATTTGTGTATTTGGGGGCTGGTATTATGGCTCAGTGGATTAAGCTGCTACCAGAGATATTTGTATTACATCTTGGAGCACTAATTACTATCTCGGCTGTTCCACTTTCGATCCAGCTCCCTGCTATTGCATCTGGGAAAGCAGCAGAGGATGGCCCACGTTCCTGTGCCCCTGCACACATGCAGAAGACACAGATGGAATTCCTAGCTCCTGGCTTTGGCCTGACCCAGCTTTTGTTACAGCCATTTAGGGTGTGAGTGGAAGAGCTCTGTCTGTCTGTGTCTTTGTCTCTCTCTCTATCTCTCTCTCTCTTTGTAACTCTGCCTTCCAAATAAATAAGACATTTTTTAAGAAAAGAAATAGGGACTGACACCATGGTTGAATGGGCTAACTCCTGCTGTAGAGGTGCCTGCATCCCACATGGATGTCAGTTTATGTCCTGGCTGCTCCACTTCCCATCCAGCTCCCTGCTTGTGGCCTGGGAAAGCAGTCAAGGACGGCCCAAAGTCTTGGGACCCTGCAACTAGGTGGGAGACTTAGAGGAGGCTCCTGGCTTCTGACTTGAGATCAGCTCAGCTCCAGTTGTTGCAGCCATTTGAGTAATGAACTAGCAGATGGAAGATCTTTCTGTCTCTCCTTTTCCCTGGAAATCTGCGTATAAAGAATAGTAAACAAAGGAAAGCAGGAAGTATACAGAGATAGTGGATCCACATCAGCCCCAGCCATTTTCCTCAGTTGCTTCAAGCACAAGCTTTGTATACTCTGTGTTTATTCTCAAAAATGTCTGAACTAGTAGTTTCAAGTACTCAAGGTACTGGAGAGAACAAAATTAAGCACTTTCTGTATATTCTCCCACAGCCAAACTGGTGCAGTCTACCTGCTGGTTCAAAGCCAGACTACTACCTCTCACAGCTTCCAGGTTAAAACAGGAACCACCACACCTTCGCCTCCTGTCCCCAGCCATCAGCCTCAGGCTTTCTCGCTTTTTGTCCTCCATTTGCTAACTGTGTACTTCTGGGACTGGTCCTGGGGAAATAATCCAGAGATAAAAATCAAACCAATTCAACATCTTAATTCCTCAAGTACATTTCTCAGGTCATATTTTTCCACTTAAGTAACAACTCTAGGCTGGTAGGTTCTTCCCCATCTCAGTTACTGATTCCTGGAAGAAAAGAGTCTGATTGGCGAAGCATAAGTTACCTGGGAGAGGGCTTTAAAGCATCTGTGTACCCCAAACACCTGGTCTGGGGTGTGCATGAACCATGCTGCCTGCTCCCTCGAGTGCCTCCCTACTTCCTTTTTGTTCTCTAAGATAGTTTCTGTGACCACTGAACTGGTACACTGAAATGGTATCACAAAGGTGAGATAAGTACATAATAACTGAAAGGAGCCAGTCCCACAGCTCATTTTAGGAGAGCTGCTCTCCAGCCATGGATGGAAGCTTACTATTTTAGTCAACCTAAAAGCAGCTCCTGGCTTTGATCTTGCCTAGCCCTGGAAGTTGTAGCTTCCTTTTTCTCTCTATGTAATTCTCTCTTTCAAATTAAAAAAAAAAATTAATCCCTAAAAAATAAGAAAGAAGGAACTGGCATAGTGGCAGTTCCCAGGCCACTATGGACCTAAATTGGCACCCATATGGGATCCTGGCCCTTGCAAGGGGACAATTAGCCAGTTGAGCCATCACTACTCTACTTCTGATCCAGTTCCCTGCTAATGGCCTGGGGAAAAAAAAAAAAACAGTGGAGGCTGCCTCAAAGCCCTAGCTCCTGCACCCGTGTGGGAGACCCAGAAGAAACTATTGGCTCCCAGTTTCAGACCAGCTCAACTCTGGCTATTGTGGCCATTGGGGAGTAAACCAATGGATGGAAAAGTGTTTGTGTGTGTGTGTTGTCTCTCTTCCCCTTCTCTCTGTAACTCTTATTTTTAAGTAAAATAATCTTAAAAAAAAAGGAAGACTTAGAGTTGAATAATGCTGACAACATAGAATTTCTTAGAGTTGAAAGTATCAGCACCATGCCTTATAAAGTTGAATTAAAATTTTTTTGTTGAATTTTTCTTTCCAGTAATAAAAATTTTCATTCTACAGGTAAAATGAAAGGCCTGGCATTTATTCAAGATCCTGATGGCTACTGGATTGAAATTTTGAATCCTAACAAAATTGCTACTATTGTTTAGTGGTATGGGAATGGTCCTCAGTGATGTCAGTAAGATGGAGATAAGAAAAAAAACAACAGATTCAAGATGCTGCAGTGCCAGAGGCTTTGGGAACTGATGGATCATTGTCGCAATTTGAATTACTTTCAATTTTGTGTCCTTGGATATAGTCGTGACTTTGCTTTTTGGGTTAATTAGAACAAATCCCTTCAGAAGCTGCATTTGCCTTTTTCTGTAACCTGAATATTCTAAATACCACTTCTCTTTAAGTTTTCCTTTGAATCATTTATATGCTTAAAAAAAGAAACCCTTGGCCATGTATGTGCTGTAGTTATCATCTGGTGGTCTCAGTTCCTTAGAAGTGTTTTCATGATGGAAAATAAAGAACACTGAACCACAATGAAACTGTGTGTGTACTTCAAACAGTATGAAGTGTTTGCTTTACAAAGGAAAAGTTACCCCTGAGAGCGATACAGAGGCATGCTGACAAAGATACTGATACAAGAATGAGTTTCTTTTTATTGATAAAGTGCTTTCAGAAGTCAAGGACTGACCCCGTTTCTGTGGAAGTGGGGAGGAGGAAGGGAATGGCCAGCCACTACAACAGCCTTTATCTCACTTCAGACTCTCCAGTAGCACATGAGAAAGACAACAGGATAGATGCATAAAATAATTTAATAAACTATAAGTAGTATCAATAGGCCCTATTGTTTTTAGCACGTAGATTGTGCCTCAAAGTTAGCATCTCACAGGGCCTCCTCCACTAGTCTTCTCTTGTGAAGCCCTCCTTGACTTCAGCCTTCATGCTCCAGGCCCTTGGGGCTAAGGGACATGGTGAGGCCAAAGCAGTTAGTGTCCAGGGCAGCAGACTGCTCTGTGTTCCTGCACCAGGGTCGCTTATACAGCTTGCAGAGTCTCACTTGCCCTCGGTCTCTGCGATTCCAGGGCTCTTTTATGGTCACTTATATTCTGTGATCACCAGATATTAGCTTAGTGGTCTTCCCTGCTGTGATTGATATTTGATAGATTTCAGAAAATCAAAGTGACTTTGAAAATCTCTGGCCTGGACAATACAGATATCCAGTGTATGGTTGAAGTACCTTTGAATGTTCGGTAGACTTCAGTTGGAGACCTTAGAACAGGCCACACCAACGGCCCTTGTACTGCTCCTTTCCTTTTTTGACAGAATTAGCACATATAAACCATTGAAACAAACAGCAGTACTCAAAAATTGAAATAGATTTTAGTAAGACTATTTAATTTGCAAGCAACTGTCCAGTATGTACTTTGTTTAAAAACTGTCTCAGATCAGCATTGTAGTATAGCAGGTCAAGTTGACACCTGCAATGCCAGCATCTCATGGGTGCTTGTTCAAGTCCTGGCTGCTCTACTTTGAATCCAGTTCCCTGTTAATGCACCTGGGCAAGCAACAAGATAGCTGAAGTGCTAAAGCCCCTGCACTCACACAGGAGACAGGATGGAGCTCCTAGCTTTGACGTGGCCCAACACTAGACATTGCAGCCGTGTAGGGAGTGATCCAAAAGATGGAGGGTCTTCTCTCTGACTCTGCCTTTCAAATGCATAAAATAAATCTTAAAAATATTGTCCACAGGGAGTGCCAAGAAGATTTGAAAAGATTTGCAAGTTTATTCTGAACTGGGGACAGTTAAATTCTGTGCAACCTGCTCTGAAGCAGATTCTGAGGGCAGGGGGGTATGGAGGAAGAAGCAAGTACGAAATGGAGGATTGTAGCACAGAAAGTACAGAGAGGAAAGGCCAAATATACAGATGAGTCACTTAAGACTGATTTTACTTGTTGAGTACTAGAAGAGATGGAAGAATGGGTGGGCAGTGGGTTCACAGATGACCAGAACCCGAGTCCTCCCATCTTTCTGGTCTCATTCTCACATTTGTCTCCAGGTGTCACAAGTAGACCAACAATGTACAGTGAAAGGAAAAAAAAAAAAAACCTTCAATTCCTCATGGGCCTCTGATTAAAACTAAAATATCCCCAAAGCTTGTCAGCACCATTCCTAGCACATCTCAGCCAGAACTAGGTCGCTTCCTGTTTCTAATCACGGACAAATGTGGGAGATAAACCCGGGTCTCTGCCTGCTACATGATGGGTTAACCCATGGCCTGCCTGCCCATGACCTGAGGCACAGCTTCCAGCCGGGGTACACCTGTGACATGACTGGAGGGTCTAAAGGGATAGACGTGCCTTCCAGTCAGTTACAATGTCCTTTGTGTTGGGGGTGGGGGATGCTGGGACTGCCCCTCTGCATTTCCCTTTTTCTAGTCTATATAAGTTGTTTACACTGCCATCTCACCCACTGGTGGCCTCAGGGCCTGCTGGCAGTAATCACCCCAATAGGCAAAGGAGACTGGCCCCTTCTGACTTAGATGGACTATCTTTACCCAAGACCAGCTGCATAGGAATGGACCCTGGATCAAAATTGAGATTGGAAGAACAGAATTAGAAATGGGGGCTCCCTGGAGGGAGCCATAAACTGTGAGGCCTGCCTCCATGCTTGATTCCAGTTTCTTGATGATCCGCACTTGGGGACAGCAGGTTTGGGCTCAAGCAGCTGAGTCTCTGCTTCCCAACTGGGAGACATAAATTGAGTTCCAAGCTCACAGCTTGGGCCTTGTTGATCCCTAGCTGTTGTGAGCATTGGGGTTGGGAGGTGCTGTCCTGTAGATGGGAGCTCTCCATCTCTCTTCACCTCTCAAATATGTACATGCACATAAGAAAAATTTAAAAGAAATTTGCTATTGAGAGCCTTGTTTGCGCAGGGAGCTATCAGAAATCTTAAGACAAAGAACTTAGGTTTAACTGATTCTTTGCCATACCAGGCTTAGCAGACCCTTCTTATTACAACCTAGTAACATTTCTAATATACAGCACACCCACTAGCCTGAAGGAAAGTGCAGTGAGGAAGGAAAACTAATGGAGTATTGTTGGCACTGCTTAGCACCAGGATTCCGCTATAGTTTTACAGCTTTAAGTGCTGATAACGTGTTTCAGCAACTCAGAGAACTAGGGAACTATTGGGAGCGTTTTCCAAAATCCTGAATAAAAGAATAAGATTCTGTTATAGGATAGTTTTGTCCCTAATATATACCTAAAGTATATAAGTAAAGTAGAAATTCCAGCCCCGAATAGCAAAAAGCAAGCTTTGATTTCTTTTTGTAGAACTATTATTAGATTTACATGAATTTCGCTGATAGTACTAAAGCTTCTGTATACAAATGCCAAGCTTCTCCTTTTCCTCCAATGTAATGATTTTACAATTGGCATCATCAATGAGCCTATGTGAATTTGTTATTATTAGCTAGCATGCATAGGCTTTCAGGTTCTCCAGTTTGTACTTCCCTTTCCTAATAGCAGGACCACATTCAGGAAACCAGGCTAAATAAATGCCCTCTTCTGGTGTCTTCCAGCTCCTCTAGAGTCTGATTGTTCTTCAGACTTTTCCTTGTTCTTGACAATTGTTGACAGTTTTGAGGCATCCTGGTTTGAGGTTTTGTAGATTGTTTCTCATTGTGGATTTTCTGAGAGAGAGAGAGAGTGTGTGTGTGTGTGTGTGTGTGTGTGTGTGTGTGTGCACGCGTGTGATGATCAACTGAAGTTATGGGTTTTTAAGAGGAAAGTCAGAGTGCCCGTCTAATTGCGTCATAGCAAGTGTGCCCGCTGTCAGCAGCTGCATCCCCCATGCGCGGACCCTGATCTCCTGTCTGAGGTAGTATTGTCCCATTTTCCCCCACTAACATGATTCTCTGCCCACTCCTCTCACACTGAACTCCTTGAAAGGAAATTGTTTTATGAAGCCACAGTTGATGGGGGGGCCCTATCCCACCTCCTTGGGTGGAAGAGTGTAGGCTTGCTTCCAGAGTGGACACTCCGTGGGAGTTCCTAACATTGTGCAGACCTGACAGGATTCTAACAGCTCTGCTCCTCTGTAAAACCCAATGAATAACGCCCACAAGTTTTCCAAACAACCCCTAGAGGTCAGTACTGCCCTGTTGAGAACCGCCGGTCCACACTTTCCAATCCTAGTTTCTTGAAAGTGGAGTGTGAATGTATACACCTCCTAAGAAATCTGAGCACAGAATCTGCAGCTCTGCACCCTCCTTACTGATGAGATGCTCAGCCTCAACTCAGCAGCCATTTGCAGTAACTGTTCACCTTTGAGAGGCCTTCAAAGCATTCAACGTCACATGGCCTCCTATTGTTTGATGGAAGGTTTTATTAGAGTCTATAATATAAGTACAAGGATAACTGGATTTGATTTGACAAGTAAACACATCTGAGAAAACAGAGCTAGGTACTCAGCCTGAAAGGAAACGGTGAAGTAAATCAATCCAATCATCAGCAAGTGTAACTTGGTCAAAAGAATGCCTGCTGCAAACACACTGATGTTAGTATTATCAATAGTAGCCAAACTTTAGAAGATTTCATTGCCAGTAGCTAGAACTGCTGTATTTGTAATTAGATAAACACCTTTATAGATTTCATGCAAACTACATACACATGAATACAATGCTGGCATCCTTTATGAGCAGCAGTTCGAGTACTGATTACTGCTCTTTCCATCCGGCTCCCACATGATGCTCCTGGGAAAGCAGCAGAGGATGGCCCAAGTACTTGGGGGCTCTGAATCCAGTGGGACATCCAGATGGAGTTTCAGACTTCTTACTTTGGCCCTCCTTTGTCATTCCAGCTATTTAGGGAGTAAACCAGCTGATGGAAGATCTAATTTTGCATTTCAAATAAATAAGTCTTGACACTTTTTTAATTTAAAAAAAAAGAGCTAAAAACTTTAAAAATGTCAATATTCTTTATTTATTTTAAAAGATTTATTTCTTTGAAAGGCAGAGTTGGAGAAGAGAGAAAGAAAGGAGGGGAAGAGAGATTTTCCACCAGCCAACTCACTCCCCAAATGGCTGAAAAGCCAAGGTGGGGGCCAGGCTGAAGCCAGGAACCTAACTCCATTTGGATCTCCTACATGGATTCAGGGGCCAAAATAGTTGGGCCATCTTCCACTGCTTTCCAAGGTTCATTAGTAGTTCGCTGAATCAGAAGTGGGGCAATCAGGACTTGAATCAGCTCCTATATGGGATACTGGCATTGCAGATGGTGGGCTTAACTTATTGAACCACAACACTAGCCCCAGTATCCTTTTATGTATTAGTTTGTAATATTTTGAGAATAGAAAATAATCATATATTTTAGTTTTAAGATTATGTACAATTTTACCAACTGTAAGCAACTGCCTAGCTAGCCATGTCCTGTTACTCTGCTGGGAGAAAAGCAACCAGTAGCTGGTGCACATTCTGGGCCTGGTGAATGTCAGAATGGACTGCAGAAACCACCAGTATACAATAGAACTGGATCTG